ACCTGGCCCGTCTTGCTTTTGACACTACGGGTCTGGCCGATGTCCTTCGAGGCGTCATGACGTGCCCGGGCGATCCGATAGATCATCTTCTCGCCTTCGGGTGTGTCAAGTGCGTTGTACAGCGAGCCAGTTGCTTCGGCCTTGGCCTTAGCAATCGCGGATTTGGCTGCTGATCTCGCTGCCTTGTATGCATCACGCGAGGATTGCGTGTTCGTCAACTTCCATTCCTTCAACGCCGACTTCTTGGCTCGAACAGCCGATTGGACTGGTTCAGACCAGTACCACGTCTGTTTGTCGATGCGCTTACGGCCGGGTTTGGTCTCGCCCAGGATGGATTTGCCCGTTGCTCTAATGGCCGAACTGAGTTCCTTCCATTGGTCATTGCTGTCCAACTTCCAGTACTTCATGTCCATGAGCTTATCTCGTAGTTCATCCTGTAGGGCAAGCCTCCGGGTTTCCTTGTACTTCCACCACTTGATTCTGGCAGTCATGTTCAGAACACGACGCTTCGTTGTCTTCGTGGGGAGTTGCACGTCAACATACAGCGGCAGGTGCTGTGTGGTCACGTTGTCACTTGGAATGACCTTGCAGTTCATAACCTTCGGGAGTGATCCACAGGGGACTGCCCAAAAGTCGATCTGCGAGGAGTGACCTCCGCTACAGTACGTCACCAGATGGGAGGGACGTTTAGCGAAAAACGTATTGCACAGAGCAAGGTCTAGCTGCTCGGCATGTTCGAGGATGGTTTCTCCGTCGGGGTTCGCAATACCGTAACCCTTGCCGCCGTGTTGGCGTGGGTACTTGCGGTTGCTCTGTCCGACATGACCATTGAGGTCTCCGCCGACGAGTAGCAGTTCGTCCGGTCGCTTGGTCCTGATCAGGTCAGAGAATTCTTCCCAGAAGGAGTCCTTCTCATCGTCAGGGCAACCTGACTGGGGCGCGTATGCCGAAATCAGCATGATCTCAGTGCCCTTGTAGTCAAAACGAACCGCCATGAGTCGGTCGGAGGTGCGAATGACCTCTGTGGCGCAGTCTGCCAGCTCGGGGGAGGCGATAATTCCGACACCGTTGCGGGTGGAACTCTTCCCGTAGTACCACAGCTTGAAGCCGTGTCCTAGCGGGTACGCCTTCTCGCCCTTCCACTTCGTCTCCTGCACGCAGGTGGCGAGTGTGCGCCTTCGTCGCATCATGTCAACGAGTTCAACCGTTTTTCCCGTGAGGGAGCCCACATTCACGGTCGCGAAGCGGGTACGGGGGCCTGATCTTGGTGGCCTTGCGGTATGGTCGGGGCCGACTAACGTCCTTAACCCGAACCGTCGTTGAACGGGTAGCCCTCGCACATTTCTCACACCAATCAGGCGAGATTGATGCGCGTCGCCTCCAGGGGACGCCTTAGCATGTGCGGTGTTCTTTGAAGGACTTTGGACCATATTGTACGACAGGGTGTGTCTTCGACTGGCTTGTCGTGCGGCCCGGAGGCCTAGCCTAACGTCGGTACGTGGTCTGTCTCCTCTCCAGCACAACGGTGTTGTACGACCCGGTTTGAATCGGGGAGAGGTCCCTTCCATCTGGT